ATACACTTTTTGTTCATCCTTTCCCACTTCTATTTGCCTATGTAATTTACCCCACTCCCTTTACAAGGACAGTTTTATACCTACGTGGAAATGCTGAGTTGGTAATGGACTAGGTCCTTGAACCATAAACTTCTGGAAGTGAATAAAATGTAGAGGTCATGTAGGTGCTGCTGTCTCTTGGTCTTATATACCACTCATCGGTCTTCTGTCTGCTTCTTGAACAATCCCTTCCTGTGGACAGCATATCTCTTCTTCTTCTCCTTCCCCTTCCTCTTCCCTTTCCTCTTCTCCCTCCTCCTCCTCTTCCTCCTCCTCCTCCTTCTTCTCTGTCTCTGACTCTGTCTCTGTCTCTGTCTCTCTCTCTCTCTCCCTTCCTCTCTCCCTCCCTGTCCCTCTCCCTCTCTTTTTCTTCTTTCAGGGACTCACCCTGTGTCCCTTCACATAGTTCTCATGTGGTTTTAAATCTGCCATCCTGATACTTCTGCCCTGGCTTGTGATTCAGGACAATAATATAGGATGGCCATACAATCTGGGTGCATAGCTATTATTGCTTTGTTTTGTTTCTTTTCAGATTGAATTTATTTTATTACTTCTTATGTGTGCTAAAAGTGCAGGTTTATTCAGTGAAAAATCAAACACACGAATCACAGGAGAATGTGCATCTGGGTGTCTACTCAGGATTGATAGAAATGTGCCATCACACCTACACCATTGCTCTATAAAGCCAATAATCTTTTTAGTATAGTAAAAATAATAGTAAAGTTTGTTAGGAAAGAAATTTAGTATTACAGAATAAAAATGGGGAGAAATGGGTTAAAAAAGAAACATTTCCTGTCCCCCATACAGTAAATGGGAATAGAGAGGCTCAAATCTTTTTAAATCTCACACTGTACTTTATTTATTTATTTTACAAAATTAACTGGACAGACAAGGGAAGTTTAATAGCAATGTGAAATTTTTCAGCAGCACAAAAAAGTGCCATTATATTTAACCATAGCCAACTGGAGATTTGCTTTATCTTAACTATGTAAAGTATGTTTAACATGTATTTTTGTATGTATAGTGTTGTACATATCAGCCACCCCTAAAAAGTATCAACCTTAAAAGCAGTCCATGGAAGGTAAAAATTATAAAAATCTTGGTAACTAAAGATTTTAATAAAAAAACTCTTATTGTTCACTTATTTTAAAACAAAAATAAACCACATTAACTCAAAAAAGCAAAACTTAGTTGAAAACTCAAGAAGATACTATAATAAACCACCAAATGAAAGCTACCCCAAAAGGAATTTAATCAGCTATCCATCTTTCAAATGCTACCCTGGAGGGCAAAACCTACTGAAAGGAGCTAGTTGGAGGACCAATACAGATTTCCTAAACAGGAAGGGGCATGCATGGTGTCCTGGAGCTGTGACACTGCTGTTCTAATAGTTAACAGTACCAAGACTTCTAATAAACTAGCCTCTTCATCTTTCATGAGTGTTTTTGTCTTCTGTACTAAGCTTGGTATACAGAACAACCAGAGAACATTGACTTTGGGTAATTTTTCTAGGGTAGTCATGATGAATTGGTATGGTACCATTCATATGCCATCTGGTTTTCTTTGTGTCTAATGAGATGCATATTTTATGGTTGTTGAAAGACATGGAATAGAATGATTTGTTGGGTAAGGCTAAGGAACTTGTATAATCATCTACCCAATTCAGTTTCACATTGCTTTATTTAATTTCAATTTTTTGTATTATGTATAATAAACATTCAGAAACAGATGTCCCTACCAACCAGAAGGTTGTCATTAACTATCCTTTTGGTTAAAATGAAAGACTTACTGTTAAATGCCCATGAGACATATTCATCTTAAAACTACCATTGAATGGCCATACTAAGCCAGATGTCGAACTGTGCCAATGTTCCTGGAATCTAAATGTGCTTCAGAACTTAAAAATGATTTTAAAGTTAATAATCTTTAAAAATGATTTCAATAATAAGGACATCATTTTTTTGTTTGTTTTTTTGAGAAAAGGCCTTGCTGTACAGCCCAAGCTGGCCTTGGACTTGTTATATAGTTCAGCATGGCCTGGAATCTGTGATCCTCTTGCCTCTGCCTCTTAAATCCTGGGATTACAGGTGTACCACCACATCCAGTTTAAAAATGTATTTTATATGAGCCAGCAGTTACCATTTCTGGGACTTTTTATCTATCTGTGTAATTTCTGAGTTAATTTAAACCGAGTTTTTTTTTCCTAATTTGTGTTGTATTTTTCTTGCTTCTTTGTGCATCCTTGTTTCTAGGCCAATTTTTGAGTGGATGCCAGACAGCATAAATTTTACCTTGTTGGATGGTGTATATTTTTGTATTTCTTTAAGTATTTATTTACTTATTTAATTTTGATGGTATAGGGGTTTAAACTCAGGGCCTTGCAGTTGCTAGGCAGGTACTCTAAATATTTCCTTATTATACAAAACACCTTTTTGTTGTTGTTGTTTTGGTGATACTGGGGGGTTTGAACTCAAGGTCTTGTGCTTGCTAGGCAAGCACTCCACTACTTGCACTACTTGAGCCATAACCACAGTCCTCCTCTAAGTTTTTTTGTTCTGGGGCATGGCATAGTTATTTGGAAGCAGTGTGATCCTTCCAGGTTTTTCTTTGTAGCTTTGTTAGTTGGGACTGGAAGAGCATTTAGTCTGGGTCACTTTTGCTCTCCTGTGCAGGCAAAACCACCTGAGCATTTTACCTGATGCCCCGTTTACAATAAGGGTTTCCACTCTGGCTGGGGGAAATGACAAATACTCCAGCCCTGTGTGAGATGTAAGAACTGCTCCTTCTAGTCTTTTGGAGCCTTGAGTAATTTCCTCATAGCCAAACTGTCCACTGAGCTGAAGACTCAAGGGGTCCCTATGCAATCTCCAGAGTTCTCTTTGTAGCACTCTTCTCTTCCACGCACTACCCCGTGAACTCCAGCTGCTTTAGTGCTCTCAGGATCCCAATCTCCATCTCCTCAATTCAGGAAGTTGCCAGGCTCTGCCTGGGCTTCCTCTTTCCTATGCTGCAGCTTAGAAACTATCTCTAAGGAGTAAGCTGGGGCACTCATATGACTTAGCCCATTTGTCTCTCAAAGACCATTGGCTTTGAGACTGTTCCACACATTTTATCAGGTGTTTTAATTGCTTTGGATGGCAGTCCTAATATAGTTTGTTATTCCCTATTGGCTGGAAGTGGAAGTACATGGTTGTAATTGCAATTTCTCCTAGCTCATTGAATTAGGCATCATCATCAAACATATCACATAGAATCAGTGAACACCATGCATTGTAATATAACACCATTACACTAATATGTCTATTTGTCCTGTGGTTCTTTATTTTTATGTTTTGTTTTTGAGTCAGGGTCTCATTATTATTTTTTTTATTGTTTCATTATTCATGACAGGGTCTTATTATGCAGCCCAGGCTGACCTGGAACTTTCTATATAGTGCAGGTTGTGGTTGAACTTATGATCCTCCTGCCTCACCTTCCTGAATGCTGGGATTATCAACATGTGTCACCATGCCTGGCTTCCCTCTAGTTCATTATCCTTGAACATTCCCTACCACCAAACAATGGTGATTGATCCAATAAGAAAGTGGAGATGAGGGCTGGTGGCATGACTTCATGTGGTACCACATGAAGGCTCTGAATTCAAACCCGGTACCATCAAAACAAAACAAAACAAAACAAAACAAAAAAAGGAAAGTGGAGATGAAAAGAAAGAGATGGAATAGAGAGAGAAAGTAACCACCTTCCCAATGCCTGATGGCATCTCTCTGGAGCCTAACACATTGTCAGCACTCGCTTGTTGAGTGATTGATTGAATGAATTCATGCAGACTTAGATGTTTGCTTCAGCGAATGACTGTGACTGGATGAATGTTTTTTTCCCTACCCACCAGTTCTCCACTGGGCAGAATAAACACCCTGCACCCTTCAGACCCTTCTCCCAGGACACAGACTTGGAGTAGAGGATTGCTCCAGAGCCTTCCTGCTGAGAAGAAAGCTGGGTTTTGTTTTTGGAGTGAGGTTCCGGGGAGGTACCTCCTCACACAGGGTCTCCTGCCTTGTTTTGGTTACTATTTTTAGCCTGATGTTGAGGCTTCCTGTTTTTGAAAGTGGATTCTTCCTTTAATTCAAGAATGTGAATACCACTTAACTATGTTGTAAATGAGCATCACAACTCTGCCCTATTTTTTTTCTATTTGCAAAAGGCCTCCAATATGTTTCTGATTAGTGATATGTATCTAGTCCCGGGGCTATTACCAATTAGAAAAAAAGAGAATTGGGGAGAGCTATTTCAGCTTTGAAATTAGTGAGCAGAACTGAATACTTTTATATGTCATTGCTAAAATGTGTTCAAATAGTAACAAGTGAACAGCTCACTAGTTTTGAAGTGTTTCAATGTAAGAGTTTTTATTCTGGTTCTGCACACTCAATTAGAGAGACCTAAAACAGACTACAGACAAAAATAATTAGGAAGGGCTCAGTAAAAATGTCCAGAAAACAGTAACATAGAGAATATCCAGGTTTACAGAGCTGAGAGGTTATCAGGGCTTAATTTCAGTCCTCACATGAGTGACCAAATCCCTAATTTAGGTAGGATATTCAACTTCAAACAAGACTGCAGGCTTGGATTCTAAGTACAATGACTTTCTCCCAAAACTGAAAATCCTATGACAGTAATCTATCAAGTTAGAACTAGGTATGCAGAGTGTTCCAGAAGATGGAGAACAATTTTGGAAGACTGGGGAAAAATAGCATAAAAAATGGTCAGGAAAAGCTAGAACTAATGAGTTCAAACAGGTAGCAGGCAAGATTGGGGAAGGAAAGGGGGGGCTACACCTTTGTTTCAAACGGGGAAGGCACAGATGGAATGAAGGTGAAGGGGGCCTTACCTCAGCAGAGGACTTGCTCCACAGGGTTGAGTGCTGAGGTCTGGGCAGCCCTGGAGGAACATTGGCTCGCTTAAACTTAGTTACCACTAGCCTGTTTTAGGTTTCTCGTGATAGTCCTCAGCCCTTTGCTGCTGTGGGTGGCTCAAAGGGGGCAGGACAGGGGCTGCTTCAGGGAGAGGTGTGGCAGTGAAGGGGAGGCTGGCTGAGCAATAGGCCCTGGGCCTAAGGCCTTTTCTGAGGAAGTGGACATCAGCATGACTTCAGCGGGCTACTGGTTTTGCAGTGTGGGGACCTACACTGGCCTGGAAACTGGGGAATGACCTCACATGCACTATTCATGAAGGAAATTCCAAAGTGCTCTGGAGATTCACAGAGTTAACCCCCCCCACCTCCCACCTTGAGCTTGGGCTCCATCTTGGGGTGTAACTCTTGGGACCTGTTGTCATGGGAAGAGCCACGTGTCTCTGCGGACACCATCTCCTGGAGAGGCAGCTTTTTGGTAGGTTTCTTTTTCTTCCTTCTAGGGTTTTCCTCTCTTGGCTCTTTTAAATTCCCCGTGCCAACTTCTTTCACTGGCCAGAAAGTAGAGCTCCTCTCCTTTTCCTCCTCATCCTCTCTAGAGAAAGAGAAGAAGGGGAGGGGGAGGGGGAGAGGAAGGGGGGGGCGGGGGAGAGAGAGAGAGAGAGTTAGTTATCAGGTATACTCAGGCCTTAATGGCTGCTGTGTCCACAGAGATGTCCAAGCCAGCTCCATGGGGTTTCCTATCTCCTTGTCCACTGTCCTGAGGCCAGTACTTTTGGCTATATTTAATTCCACTCAGTGCCCTTCCACAGGCCTTTGGTGTTTGGGAGACTTGTATAGCAGGGAGAATCTTACCACATGGACCTTGTCCTGACCACGTCAATGAAGGAAAAACTCTACCCTGGAAGTCTCTGAGCATGCCTCAGCATCAACCCTGTTTACCTGGAAAGGACCAACTTGGTCCTGGGGACTGGAGCTTGTACCATAGAATTACGTCTAATGACGTAATTCAAGGTGTAACATCAGAAACACTTCAATAAATGCCAACAGTGATCTGACTTTTAGTTACATTTCATTGAAAAAACTTAGGCCTGAATATGAAGTCATAGAGCTAGACATTTGAAAAATGGGTAAAACTTATTTATCCAGAGGTATTGTATTTCAAAGGTGGCATCTTGGGAATGCATGACCTCATTCCAGTCCTCCAACCATGGCTCACTGTTTTGGGAAGTCACCTCTTTCAGGACTCAGGATAAGTTAAGGGTACCAGATACCTGGTGTTAAACCTTATTTTGTTCTCTTGTAAGCATCAGCCACCTTTCTCTCTCTGCCTTCACTCAGAAAAATTTTTGTTTTGTTTTGTTCTTTTTTTTTTGATGGGACTGGGGTTTGAACTCAGGGTTTTGTGCTTATAAAGTAGGGTCTACTACTTGGGCCACACCTCCAGTCCACTTTGCTGTGGTTATTTTGGAGATGGGGGCCTTGCAAACTGTTTTCCCAGGCTGGACTCCAACTGTGATCCTCCTGATCTCAGCTTCCCCAAGTAGCTAGGATTACAGGCATGAACCACAGGCCCAGGGCTCTTTTGTTTTGTTCTTACTCTGAATAACTTTGAAATCTTGCTGCTTCAGATACTTCTGGAAGATGTCAGGAAAGTGACAATAAACTCAGAAAAGATTTTTAATTATTTCCAAATAGAAAATTCTGTCATTCAAATCTTTCAGGACTTACCATACATGATAACTTTCAAAAATTGGCTCAAAGATTCAGGAGTGAATTTCCCAGAGGGATTTAAAAATTACCCTCTGAGCAGTAGCATAGAGGAACAAAGGCATTCCTGGAGGCCACAGACAAGTCATCTTTAAAGGTAAGGCCAGTGTTTGTGTGGATGTGGATATACTCCGTGATATTAGGTGCTTAAACACGTTTGACATCACACTTTGAGGTTACAGTCACTGTGCTTGCTCTGTGAACTCTGAAGCCTTGTCCTCCAGAGCAGAGAATTTTCTAGAAGTATCAAAAGAGTAAGGTAGAGGAGGGCCCTCCCTATCTGCCTGCAGAAACCCCAGAAGAAGGAGGAAAGGGGGAAAGAGAAGGAGGGAGAGGAAGTGGAAGGGGTGGTGGTGGTGGCTGAGGAGGAGGAAGAGGAAGAGAAAAAGGAGGAGGAGGCAGGGACCAATGGGCAAGTGCACTCAGCCTCAGTAGGGCTTGGTCACATGGGTAATGAGGCACCTCAGTAATGGAATTCTAGTGAAGCAATAAGTGATTTGGAAAAGAAGCAAATCACACATGGTTAAGTGGGATAAATGTTACAGAACAGAATGCAAATCACATTTTCACTGCTGTTATTAAGGCTGTGAATATGCAGGGATGGGTGGAAGCCTTTTGGCCCTGGATTCCAGGCACTGTGTCTTCATTAGTTCTTCAGAAGGGGAAAAAGCATGGAACAGCCACTCCATACTCTCTTCTAGGATCAAAATTCACCTTATTCACTTTCTCCGTAGTTTTTTTTTAAAGGATGTTTTTTGCAGCTGTCATACATGAAAAGGAAAAGTAATACTTTTTGTTTTCAGGATAAGTAAGAATCAACTTACTTAGAGGAAAATGTGGATAGTGATTACTTTTGAAAAAAAGAGGTCAGGGATGATTTTTGTATTTTTTCACTTGTTTTTAATTTATACATTATATTAACTATGAGTTACTTCCCATAGTTAACAATAAAACAAGTTTGTTGATGAGAACAAAAAGCAGGCCAGGGTTTTGATCAAGGAAAAACCGTTACATGAATCAAGCAGGTATCATGTGGGACCCTGGATTTCACTTGCTAGAATGACATTGACCAAGTTCAAGTTACTAACAAGGAAATGTCGCCTTATGGGGTGTGGGTAGGAGAAAGGAGCAAGGGAGCTGTGAATCTGAGGTGGAAGCTATTTTTCTTTTCCTTTTTTGGATGAGGTATTTTGAGACATGGTTTCATTATGTAGTCCAGGCTGGCCTCAAACTTGTGATTCTCTTGCCTCTATCTCCCCTTTTGTAACTGGATTACAAGTGTGCACCACATGGGTGTGTGATATGAAAGTTCTTATCCTCTTCCCAATGTACCTCACTGTTTTTTGGCCCACACCCACTCTGGGAGAAGGGAAGGACCACCATGATCTTGACTTTCAGCCAATGGGCATTCTCCATGAGCACGTCTGGAAACGACTCATAAAAGAACTTTCTTTTGTTCAATCTCATACCAAAACGGCATTAAATCATGTGCCCTATTAATTATTTTAGGCTACAGATTTAGCTGAATACACATTAAGGGTCCCTTATCCAAAAGGGACCAGAAGTGTTTCAGATTTTTTTCTCTGATTTTGGAATATTTGTACATTCATAGCGATATTCCTTGGGGATGGGACCCAAGTCTAAACACAACATTTATTTGTGTTTCATACACACCTTATACACATTGTCTTGGGTAATTATATACAATATTTTTGGTGTGCCTGCATTTTGACTGTGACCTGTCACATGAGGTCAGGTGGGGAAATTTCCACTTGTGTTGTCATGTTGGTGTTCAAAAAGCTTCATATTTTGGAACATGTCAGATTTTGGATTTTTGGACTAGGGAAGCCCAACCTATAAACAGGACAAAAATATGGAGATTGTGGGAGTGGGGCAGGGATCCAGGTATTGTGTTTTCACTGGCTTTTTAGAAGGGCTGGCCCCAGGTCTGGGGAGAAAACACTGAGCACCCATTTAACACTCTTGTGGGGTCAAAATCCACCTAATTCACTTAATCAAGCATTGCTATGCTGGTATTGTTACTGACTCCCTGAAGCCTCATTTTTACACTGTCCCCAGGCTGTCTGTCAACAGGCTGTCTTGGACACAGAGAAAAGGAATGGTCACCAAAGAGATAGATGTCTGAGGAGGATCAGAGGCTGCTAAGTTTAACAACTGAAGGGACAAAAATGAAGAGACTGACACCATTGGCTGAAGTTGGAGAATCTCTGTGACTCTTCATGTTCCCTTGTCCCATGTATTAGGATACCATAGATGCCTCCTGAAAGTAGGCAATGACATTTATCTTCAGGGATATTCACAGATGGATTTATTGCAAAGCTGCTCATTTTTCAAGGCTTTGCTCCTGATAGAAAATGGGGCTCCTAATCTGACCAGAAGGGACGAAGTGGCTTAATGACTTCAAATGTACCACTCCTGCTAAGGATAAAACTGTCAGGAGTGACTAGGTAGGCTGGAGGGAAGTGATTCATGTCATGTAATGTCAGAGGCAGTGCTGAACCTGGAAGTTTCAGTCAATGACTTAATTTCATTGCTGTCAGGAAGACAATGTGAGGCTAGACCACATGGAGTAAAGGAAGGAGGGTTAAATAATGTAGGAATTATCACTTCCATTGGGACATGCTCCTGAAGCCAATGGCTTCATGAAAAATTACTGAATTGCTCAAAAGAGAGATAATGAGAGTTTTTTTTCTCAGTGGTACTGGGATTTGAACTCAGAGCTTCATGCTTCCTAGGTAGGTGCTCTTCCACTTCAGTCACACACACCGCCCCTCCCCCAGCCTTTTTTGTTGTAGATGTTTTTGGGATAGGGTCTCGTGGCCTGGACAGCGATCCTACCTACTTATGCTTCTCACATAGCTGGGATTGACAAGTGCATGCCACCATACCCAGCTATTGGTTGAGATGGGGTCTTGCTAACTTTTTGCCTGGGCTGACCTTAAACCTCAATCCTCTTGATCTCTGCCTCCTGAGTAGCTGGGTTTATAGACATGAGTCACTGTGCCCACAGAGAGGCTAATATTTTGTGTTATAGGAATTGGGAAGTTGCCCATAGATGCAGCCAAACCACATCTAAGTCCTGTGAGGGTCTTACTTATTACCACGTCCCCAACATCAAACAATGACAATCAAGCAGTAAGGGAAGAACATTCCTTGCTTTAGAGATCTCAGGACCCAACAACTTTCTTCAGATGCCTAATGGTTTTTCTGGAGCTCAAAGGACCTGATTAGTCCTGATTAATCCTATTTGATTTTCCTGAGATCACATTTGGAGTGATAATTCTTATTTTGTAAATCACATTCCTTCTAAAGAAAGTCTAAAGAAAGGGGGGGTGGGATCTTGGAGAGTTAATTTTCCTAAGCCTAGCTCGTCAAGAATGCAGGGAAGGTAGCTGCAGGGATTTCCAGCTAGTTGTAGAATGAGTAACACCTGGTAGAGGCAGCTCTCTTCAGAGCAAAATACAAGAAGTTAGAGCAGCAAGTCTACCAGGTCCTTCCCCTGCAGCAGTCAGAGGCCATTTCCAGGGGAGGCAGCCAGGGAAGAACATGGTCTATGTCTCCTGTCCTAGTGAGGACAGAGGATGCCAAATGGGGAAGGGGGATTCCTTTTGCTCTACTTGCTTCTTGTAGAAGCAGAATTGAGATCACAACAGGGAAATTACACATGTGTTCTCTAAGTGAAGTTATAGACAGGTTAGAGAATATTTTCACTCAGAAAAAGCATCTATGATGCCACAGAATATAGATAGACACTAGTGAGGGGACTGGAAAAGGAAAAGCAGTCATTTCCTTCCATAGAGACCCGTTTTCAGCTGTGGAGTCAGAAGAAAGAAGAAATCTGCACAGCCTGGCCCATTTGTGTTGTGAATATGGTGATGACCTTGCTCTCCCTTGAGAAGTAGCCATTTGGAATTTGGCAATATAGGTGACATATTTTTGCAAGTCCACCCATGTTAAAAGTCTTTGAGAATTGTTTAGGTAAAATGAATCTTTTTGGGCCATACTGGATCAATTTTGAACCCTTTACCCTCCAAATACTTTCCTTCCTGTCTGTTACTGTGTCCCTTCTCCATCAGGAACCAGAGGTCAAATGGATGGGACCACGTGATTTTGGACTTGCAGCCTTCAAAATTGTGAGCTAAATAAAACTCAATGACAGGATTGAATGCTTTCTGAAGGGCCAAAAAAAAAAAGTGATGTTGAATTCAAGATTAGAATAAGAAGGAGCAAGAAACTGCAATTAAATGTGTCAGTGAAGGGATCTCCCGCCTCTGCTTTTCTCCTTAGTATTTGGAGATTATGGACTTAAACTCAGGAACAGATTAAAGGTACAAAGATACAAGTTAACTTTTAAGGAGTAAGAGGTGGGTAAACTTACACTTTTGGATCCTCCTCAATTGGGGGTGGTCTTATATGAGAACAAGAGAGAGCATACTTGCTTTGGCTGATCTTAATAAGTGCACTCCGAGGGCAAAATTCCTGTAATAATATCAAAAGAGTTCACTTAATTTAAATCAGAAAAGCCCAGAGTTCAGAAATAATTTTATTCTAGTGCAAACCATGATAATAGCAACTAGTCATTATCCTAGTCAGGGTGACACTTTTAGGAGAGCAGGTTAAATTCAAAGCTTTGCTTGATAATTATTTGCTAAATAAAAGTCATTGTTGATGCTGCCATTTCTCCAAATTTTAGGTTAAATGCCAAGTCTGTCCACATAAATTCCACAGGCACACACATCCTTTCTACCTTTCTTCCTTTCTATCTTTGTTTCAGCTGTGGCCATCTCTTTCCTGAATAACTGCAACTACCACCCTTTTGATCAATGCCCCACCTTTAGTTTTGTACCTTTCCCCAGAATCTCCAGCAGAACTGTCTTCCATGTCCTCTCCCCTGACCACACTACTCTGGCCCCTAGGGACGCCCTGCCCTATGGGTTGGCTCCAAAGTCCCTCCCTGGGCTCTGAAGCTTTTCCTTGGGCTCCTAGGCCAGCTCATTAACTGTCTCTGCAAACTGGTGTGTGCTTGGGAACATCTTTTCAAGTGTCCTTTGATTTGCTCTCTCCCCTTACGCAGTAGATGGTCCAGAGCAGTGCCATGTGCTGGAAACGCTTCCTTGTGTTCTGCTCTTCCAGACTGCTCCACTTTCTCTAAGGGGCTTTTCTTGAGTTGATGGGAAGACACCCCCTTTTCCCTCTTGTTCTGTCAGATTAGACACAGTGCGCCTGCGGCCACTGGCCCTGACGACCTTCACCTTTCTCCCGTACCTTAAAATTAATTTACCACAGCCTATCCCCTAATGGAATTACCTCATGCTACAGTTACGAGTTTACTGGATATTTAGATTCTGTGGACCAGGCAGTTGAACACAGTGGTTTAGAGTGCAGGTCATGGAGCCAGAGATTCAAACATCTGCACAATTGCTTACCAAGTTTGTGACTACCTAACCTTTCTGCCTCAACTTCCTTATATGAAAACGGGGATAAAAAGAGTCTCTACCTCACAGCGTGCTCAAGAGTCATTTGCTTAGTACCTGTAAAGCACTTGGATTAGTACCAGTGGCAAATAACAAAGGCTTAATAAAGTTAGCCTTGTTACTTTGGTTTTTTTCTGCTCACCAATATATTTCACTTTCCAGTCAATTTTCCAGGCATGTTAAGTGGCCTATCAAAGCAATGTCACTTTCCATTGGAAATGTCATTCATTCAACTAATATAAAAACCACTGCGAGAACCTTCTTGTCATCAGGGGTTTCTCTGGGGGAGCATGTAGAGAGGAATAAACCAGAGTCCCTGCCTGTGTCAGGAGATTGGTGACAAAGTCAGCGTGGGGGGAAGGCTGGACAGAAGAACCATGAGGGAGTCCAGCAGGAAGTTAATAACTGGGCAAGTCTTTAGGACAACAGGAGTTTCCTATGAAAAGGAGATGGCAAAATCAGTCCAGGAAGACAGAAATATCCTGAAGCTTAGAAAAGTCCACTGTGTTCAGGCAGTGGCAAATCTGCTACTTGCTGGAAGTCATGTTTTTGGGGCAAGATGAGCCCATGCTGAGACCAGAATGGAATTCTCCTGGAGGGTGATGAAAGTATGTGTGTGGTCAAGAAGCCACAGGACAATCAGATTTGTAAACTTTTTTGAAAACATAGGAAAAATGCATGGAGAAATATGTTATTAGGAAGGATTTCTTAAAATATAAGGCAATTTAAAAAGGAGAGGACAGACAGATCTGACCATATTAATATTTATAGCTTCTCTATCAACAAAGATTCTAAAATTTAAAGATAAGCAATAGAGCAGGAAAAGAATATCGGTTGCATATATTTTCAAGAATTACTATCCAGAAGACACAGGGAGCCTCCACAAATCAATGAAAGAGATAAACGATCCAATAGAAAACATAGAAAACATAGACCCTTCACAAATGTCTGTGCAGTGAGGGAATCAATCTAGAGGGGAGGGAGTTAACCAAATGGCTCCCATTCATTGACCATGGGGAGCACAGAAGGAAAATAATTCACTGAGGCTACTAGTGCAGCAAAATCATCACTGCTATACTACCTATTACAGGCTTGTCATGCAGGTCTTCTATAGATATTTTACTTAAGCCTCACAATCACCCTGCAAGATACAGATAGAGGGAAGGAGAGGGGAGGAGGATAGATAGATAGATAGATAAATAAAATATTCCTTTCATATGCGATGAAACAGGCTCAGAGAGGTGAAGCAATCTGCCCAGGTCAGACAACCAATAAAGAACAGAGCTAGTGTTCAATAAATCCAAATGCAGGTCTTTTAAGAGGCACAACCTGGATGAATCCCCCAGCTGAGAGGGTATAAATAGCCCCAGGACGCTTTGAGCCTCTTAGCTTCCACCCTCTGCATGCTGAGGGGTGCTCCTTTTATCCCTTTCTATTTCTCTCTGCTTTGTCCTGCTTTGCTAAATAAATCTTTGCTGGGCTTCTTAAAGAAAAAGAAAACAAAAGTACATCCTGTGTTTTTCTACCTTGGTCCACCTTACCCCTGTGCTCCCCCTTCACCTTCAGTTCAGGCCAGCCCAAGGGTGTTTCCACTAGGTGGTGGTACTCCTTGATATTGGGAAGATAGGAGGAAGAACGCTCCTGGAGGCAAGGTGACATCCCTGCCTTTGACACTTTGACTTTGAGATGCCTGTGGTTCATCCACAGGGAGTGGTCTAGTAGGACCAAGCTACAAATGCAGGGTTGGAGCTCAGGGTGGGAGTAGGGGCTGTCTCCCAAGCACAGAGCAGGGGTCCCAAGATGGAGGCTCACCCAGGAGACAGGCCATGAGGTGGCAGAAGAGAATAGGACTGGGAAGGACCTAGAAGGCAGCCATATCTGCAGGACTTGCAGAGGAGCACAAGGCAGGAGCAGGAGACAGGCAGCAAAGGTAAGAAAGGGGAGGGCAGAAGTGGGAGGTGTTACAGGAACCCAAGTGAGCCCACCCAGATGTCAAATCCAAAGCACAGAGGCAACCAGAGTCAGAAGACTGTCCTGTACAGGAGAAGGAAGGCCATGACCATTTCACTGTGTGCAGAGTCCATGTGATCTCCTACACCAGTGGGCAGAATCCAAACCACAGAGGGTGCTGGGGGCAGGAGGGGGAGGAAGATGCAACTGAGATCATTCTTTGAAACATCTGCATGCCAGGAGAGAGCAAGGCACTGCACAGGCAAGAGCCACTATCTGCCTAGTAGGTAAGTCCTTTTCTAAACAAAAGTCTACTTACCCTCCGGTTGTTAGATTTCAAAACTGTGTAGAATTTTTCTGAGGCCACATTTTGATCTGGAAGTGCTATGACAATGGCAGGGACGTAGAAGTCAAATCCTTTGGGTATCACAATTTTGGCAAACACATAATCTCCGATCTATAGAGGATAACATATTTGATATTAAACCTAATATTAATATCAGCTTGTTTCAAAACAACCCCCAATGACTGCTAACTGATGCTGAAATTCAAATACACATTTTTTTTCTCAGATAAGAAAGAGTTCCAGAATTCTCTGGGTTCTTTGGGCTGTGTCTGGAATTTTTTTCTTTTCTTTTTTTCAGTAGTACTGGGGATTGAACTCAGGGCCTCATGCTTACTAGGCAAGTACGCTACCACTTGAGCCGTGCCTCCCATCCCACACCGGGACTTTTCTGATCAGTTTGGGGAGACCCCATTTTGGTAGGACTTCAGCAACTGACAAGGGTCCAGGGGACAGCCAGCAAGATTGTTAGGGTTCTAAAATGTACATCCTACAAAGACATAGGAACAAAGATTAGATGGAAGGAGCTGACTGGGATATTTGACATAAAGAGATGTCAGCAGTGCCTCATGTGTCAGAAGGGCTGTCACTGATACAAAGGAAAGCAGCAGGCTTGGTTGATGTTGTTCCAAAACATATATTTGGGTTCCAAGGGTAAAATTTGCAAAGAGGCAACTTGCAGCAGAAAGAGAATCTTGTAGAGGGCTGTTGGCCCTTTGTCAGGCACCAGGGGAAAAGTGCACTGAGGTGTGCCGGGGTCAGTCCAGGGAAGGACGACCAGCTGATCAAGGTTAACGCCTCTGATTCCTCCTCCTGGCTGATACCAAGAAACGGCAGCAAAGGTGATTTGCAAGTCTTTATCTCTACTCTCTAGTCTTTGTGCCAGACTGGAGGACAGGCCAGGCACAGTGTAGCTTTTATGAGTTCGTGAGCAGATGAGGACAAGTCAGTGTGGCTCATCTGTGCGGTGTGCACAGGGATAACTGTGTATGACAGCATCATAGCCTGATGTCAACTGACTACAATGTCGTTGTTGTTCTGTATAATGCAATATTATCTTTCATAAAGTGTCAAGAGCATAAGGAGCTACAGCAACTCCCTTCCCCAACTCCTTCTTGTCTTGTAATGTGACAAGTGCTACAAGGGGTGATATAAGCCAGTCTGCATAGTGGTGAGCTGCGTAAGAGGGAGATGATGGCAGATCAGTCATGAGCAAAGAAATGTCCAAGCAATGGGGCCCAGAAACAGTGACCACCGCTCTTCTTGCCCAAATGCAAGCTTCCTGCAGGAACCCATTTGAGTGCAGCAAAAGGCCACATAGTGGTTCTGCCATCTTCTGTTATCCAAACCCCCGTGGATGGTGAAAAAGGACCCCAGCAGGTACCTGCAAAAGTGGGCAGGGCATGGCGCCCCCAACAGGTGTGATGAAGGAGGTGGGCACAACCTTGGTGTCTCCATACCTGAAGCTCACCAGTGCGTGGTTGGGGCTCAGGCCCCTCTTCACAACTCCTGGGAAGAATCAAAGAAAACATAAAATACAGAGACAATAATGCCTGCTCCTTTAGGCTTGCCTCATCCTAAATTGCACTGAATCCTAAAGTGCACTGAATTCTAGCACTTTGCCTGTTTAAATCAGCATACCCCTTTGATTTCTCTAGGAAATAGTGCAGGCTGCAGTCTGGTCCTGCTGGGGTTGAGCAGTGCAGAAGGGAACCATGGAATGCTTGTCTGGAGTGCCCTGAGAGAAAGCCAAAAGGATGGAGGGAGCTTGTCAACAGCACCACCAGCCTGTGCCCCCTGGGAGCACCATTCTGAGAAGCAGGGATCTTCCTCCTGGACACCTCTCCATTGCATTTTCTTATTTAATTATTTTAGCCTTATTTCCTTCCATAAAGACAGAAAATGGATGTTGTCAAATTGTGAAAGTACAAAGGAAGTACAAACTCCCACTCAAATCAGTTTTCATCTGACATTAGAAAACAAAACGGCAATCAGGTTGAACACATCCTTTGGCTTCCTTAAAATATGCGGCCAAAAAGGAAAAAGAAGCAAGAAGTTTGCCTTTTAGTTACATTCAGAGGACTTTATTATATGATCTTTGCTTATATAATATTTCACACATGTGCAGTGGTGGGGATTATACTCAGGGCTGACACATGTAAGAAAAGCACTCTTTTACATATAACTTATATGTTACCATTGTACATACTCTAGTATAAGAGATTATTAAAATAGGGAGAGCTACTATAATAGGAAAAGTAGATACCCATGTTAACATTGACATTTTTGTGACTTATCCAAGTTGAGATTTACTTTCCCATTAATAAAAGATTCTAAATTTTAATTCCAATTAGGGAGATATTTGACATCGGACACTTTCCCTGGCAGTCGCAGCTGTTCATGGCTCCCACCCAGTTTACATATTCACCTTGGCAAAGTCCCATGTCATTTCATGAGGTGAAGAAATAGCTGTTGACTTTCATGTTGACTCATCTCTCTTGTTTTAAATGGCTGATGAAGAGGAAATTTTTCTATTGTATGTTTTCTTATTGAACTAAAATGTTTAATTTGGGTTTGAAGTCTTATTTACACATTTTCTATTGTAAACTGGTTTTATTTACACTTTTAATATGAAAAAAAGCAATGCTACTTAAAAAAATTTTTTTGGTGGTACTGGGGTTTGAACTCAGAGACTCACACTTGCTAGGCAGGTGCTCTACTGAGTCACTCAGCCAGCTGTAAGTTTAGGGTTTTCTGACCCTATATATGACACTTGAGGAGAGTATTCAGTTCTCCCTCCTTTTCCTTCTTTCTCCTTCCTTTTCCTTCTGTCCTAACTTGTTCCTATGGCATGGGGTAGAAAACACCATGACTTTCCTCAAATAAAATGTTTCTTGTTACTGAACAACAAGAAGGATGACCCATTTCCACAAGTAATGATCTCATGTGGCTTAAAATGTGCTTCCTTCTTGCCTGTCACAAGCCAGGCTAATGATCAGCTTGTCACTTCCATTCTGTATAAGGTAGTCATTTCCTCCCCAAGCAATCCACACTGACCCTAGAACGGAGGTGGCCACATGTAAATCCCTTCCAAGATGACAAGGTTGGCAGCAACAGCCAGCCAGGTCAACTATGCTCCATTGTAGACCTGGCCTTAAGCAGACACACAGCTCCAATGTCTCCAAATGCCAGTCATTTTTAAAGCCAGTCATTTTTCACTAGAAATGCCTTTGAGGTTTTGAACAACAGTTACTAGAAAAGGAGTCATCAATGACTTGTGCTCTATCAAACTCTATTTGATCTTCTTTTTGTTTTACGAGAGAAGGGAGATAACAGCATAGAGTGACCAGGTGATCTAAACTGATATCACCTGATATCAGTTATCTAAACTGATAACTAATGAGGGCACACGGACATCATATGGTTGTCTGGGTAGGATGACATCCTCCCCGAGTGACAACACTCAGGTAGTATTCTGGCCAGGAATGCCTAAACTAAATCTTATGTAACCTAAATTGAGTAAGACCATCCTATAACTGGTTGTAGTCTCAAATAATGTCAATATCATTAAAGATTATAGACGAGTCCAAATAATGATTCTAGATTAACGAGGACTAAAACGACATATTAACAAAATGCAATACATGACTCTGGATTAAGATCTGGAATAGAGAAGAAAAAACTATAAAGGCTATTATCAGGACAATTAAGAAAGTCAAAATATATAGATTAGATAAAAGTGTTATGATAATGTTAAATCTCCTGACTTTAATCTTTATTGTGATTATATTAATATAACACCTGTTCTTGAGAAAATGGCATGATGGAAGAAGTGTGTATGTTGAGAAAAAGAGAGTAAGGAAAATAAAAAGAGAGAGAGAGAGAAGAGAGAGAGAACGAAATTGCTTCTCTAACATTTTCTGTTGGACATCTCACAGGCACCTACCCCAGGCACAGCTCTGGTTTTCTGTCTCCTCTACCATCTCCCATGGGTTCCTATCTACACAATGGCCCAAGCCAGAGGCTGCCATGACATCCTAATCTAATTTGCAGCCACTTTTCACCTGGCAATGGACAGGATCCTTTTTAGACTCCATGTGTTACTATACTTCTCTCTGCTTAAATGTGGCTTTTAATGCCCTTAGAGTGAAGTTCAGATAGGACCTGTTATGAAAGACCCCATACCTACATCTCTGAAGAATATTACTATTTTCTACCCTTCTTTTGCATTCTAGGTTCCACCCAGAGTCCATTGTATGTCTCCAGAAATAAAATATCTTTATTCACCCTTAGCTCTTCATACAGATTATTTTCACTACCCACAATGCTTCTTTTATTGTCCACTTCCTGCTGAATTGCACTTGGCTGATTCCTTTAGGAAGCCTTGTGCGAATCTCCCAGGTTTAGTCAGACTGGTCTGCTTGCTCTTCTTCCAGTATGCCATGTGCACCACAGCCTTAGATCTTGGTCCTACTGCTCCCTCCACTTAGATCTCTCTTTGCCCAGATAGTCTCATGGTGTCCCCTCCTTTAAGTCCTTATTCATATGTCACCTTGCCCAGGAATGCTTCTTTAACCATTATATTTAGAATTGCAACCTTCACCTTGACACTCTCAATTCTCTTTGTGGCTTGAATTTTCTCTACAACACTGCATCTGACATACTACATATTTTTTACTTATTTATTTGTTTCATAAGAGGTAGAGTCCATTAACACAAGAACTTTCATGTGTTTGCTCACTATATTAGGGCAGTACTTTCAGAATAGTGCACATACAAGAACATAGAAGGTAATAATAAAAATTTGTTTTCAAAGCAAATGAAAGATTAAAATAACATTTTTTCTGGCTATTTTTGCAGCAAATTGCCCATGATAATTTCCTATTTGAGAAGTAGAATACTGTAGTCTATCTCATGACATGTCAGTTTTCTAAGGAAAGCACATGTTGAAACCTCTGGCTCCTAGAATGAAATTACTTAACAAAGGAGTCTCACAAAATAATTTTTTTAATTACCTGGAAAATAAAAGCCATTTTCATCACATCTTGCAATAACCTTCTGGCCTTTGAGAGGATCTACTTTTTTTGATTTGATTTTCTTTGTCAGATTTTCTTGCAATTTATGTTGCTGAAAAAGACAGTAACAATTAATGAGAAAAACTCAATGCAGATAGTAAAAACCGTAAGTAATGTGTAGCCTGAGATTCTCACCCGAGTATCACAGGATTGATGAGTTACAGAATCTATGTGTACTATATAACTCACTTTGGAATACTTTCTGCTCTATGTTAATTAAAAGTTACCTTTTTGGTATTTTATGCCCTCCATAATTTTCATACTTAGCTCAAAGTTAAAGGAGAATTGGATAATTAACTGAAGGGAAATAAAAAAATATATGCAACTAGAATTCCTAAAATTCTGTGATAGCTTCAAACCTTCAAAGCAGTCTTTGCTTAAGAAGCAAAGAATCATGGCCTATGTTGCTGTGCTTCCTAGAATTGTGAGAGGTGAATGAGTCCTTCAGCAGAAAAGATGATCATCAATTGGCGACTTTGAGAGATAAGCACAGAAGCACAGAAGTTTACAGAATCACAATATTCCACCCCACTTCTTCAGGACAAAGAAAACCCCTTATTGCAATCACTGTCTTACAAAGAGGAAAGAAATCCATGAGTTGAGATTGACTAATGAATGATTTTTGCTCCTCAGACCTGATTGTGCTGAGTGGGTGCTAGAAGGCAATGGGCCATGCTTTCAAAGTTCTGAGACAAAGTAGCTTCCAATCTAGAATTCTAAACACCAACAAACTATCAAACAAATTAAGCAGAAACTTTTCCCTACCATTCATCCTGTCTTTGGAAGTTACTTGAAAATATACTCCAGCAAAATGAAGGAGTGAAGCAAAAAAGAGAAATACATAAAATCTAGGAAACATTGGACTCATCCCAAGAAAGAAGGGAAGAGAAATATTAAGATGATGGCTGTGTGCAGGCCATAAACAGCAGGAAGTCTCCTAGAGAGGAGGGGATAGCTCAGTGGTAGAGAGCTTGCCTAGTATTTGTGAGGGTCTGGGTTTGAGCCTCAGCACCTCAAAAAAATACTGAAAATACATATACATATAAAAGCATGCATATATATGCAAAAATGGTTCAAAAACAGAGCAACATTAGGGCATAATATTAAATACCAAGGGAGAAAAGATAAAAAACCCCTTTTCTTGATGCTATTAATATTTTTTTTAGTTGGCTGACATATCACCTAAGACCTTCAAGAAGGCCAAGTACTTTGAATCTATGATTTGTCTCAGTATTAGACAAGATTGATCCAATTATAATAAAACATTATTTTGTTTTATTATTTTGTGGTTTCTTGAAAAGTTAAACATTTCCAATGAAACTGTGGAATGAGCACACAACCAACACACAGTGTTCTAAGTGCAGGTCTATTCAACATTGTACTTGTGGCTCTAGCCAGCAATCAGACAAGAAAAAACTGCATCCAGATTGGAAAGGAACAAGTAAAACTATCTTTATTGATTGATAATATAATTCTATATGTAGAAATCCCTAGGGAATCCACCCAAAAGCTATTTGAATTAATAGTAAGTTCAGAAAAAAAAGTTGTCATAAGATAAATATTTACAACTTAGTTTTTCTATATACTAGCAATAATCTGAACATAAAATGAAGAAAATTTTACTTATAATAACATTAAAATAAAGATAATATTCCCAGAATAAATTTATTGATATGCACTAAACTATGAAACATTACCAAGAACAATCAAAGACCTAGTAAGTGAGTTAGTGGAGTGATATGCCATGCTCATGGATGAAAAGATTTGACATTATTCAGAGAGCCATTTTTCTCAGATTGATTTATCCATTCAATATATCTCATGTTGAAATCCTAACAACTTTTTTTTGCATAAATTGAGGTAAACCATAAATGCAAGGACCCAGAATTTTGAAAAAGAGCAAACTTGAAGGTCTTATACTCATTGATTTCAAAACTCACTACAAAGCTACGGTGATCAAGGTGTGTGGTATTTAGAAGGACAGGCATGTTGGCCAATAGGCAGGATCAAGTGTCCATTAATAAATTCTTACAATTACGGTCAATTGATTTTTGGGAAAAAAATTGGAAAAAATTTGATACTTTCTTACAAAAATAAATGAACTTACAATATGACCTATGGATAAATCAAGTAGATTAGATATTTAGCCAAGAGAAACAAAACATGTACCCGTATATTTTGAATAAACAAAATATGGTATATGATAGGATTTTATGCATCCATTTACATATAAAATATGTAAATTTAAAGAGCTAGAAATTGATTAGTGGGCACTTGGATTTGAGGATGTGGACAGAGGTTGATTGGAAATGGGCACGAGGGATCTTTTGGGAGATCTAAAATGAGATTGCAGTGGTGGCTGACAACTCAGTTTTATTAAAAATTATTGAATTGAAATAGGTGAATTTTATGGAAGGTGAATTATACTTCCACAAATCTGGGTTTGTTTTTAAGGTAAAAATAGATGGCTGTTTACTTCTAGTTTGTTCTATATAACCATTCATGGTATTTTGCATACAGTGAGTGGGCTGAATGAATGAATGAGCACAGATAAATGTATAAAAATTAGTTTTTCTGAATCTACATTGAGCCACATCCCCAGTCCTGAATCTTTTGAAATCAAAAGATAAACCAAATAGGCCTCTCCCTCCAAATTTCTATGCTGCAGAAACCAGAGATTTTCCATACTAGCTTTTCCTTTACTTACTAATTGCAGGGTTTCTTAAAGAAATTAATTAGAATGATCAGCAAAATTATTCTCTTCTTTGCAGACTATCAAATGCCCCTCTTCTCTATGATGCAAAGCTCACTATAAAACATCTCCACAAGCATTTTGATGCCACTTTTTTCTGCAGTGTTAGCTATATAACTAGAGCTACGTATTTGCAGTGTTATAGTTATATCATAAATAAAGTATTCAATGCATACTTTATGAGTTCAGCTGCAGGCCCCCACTTAAGGAAGTCTCTAAGTTATGAGGCAGTGGACTATAACAATTTAAGTAACTTCAGGCAGCATGAAGACCACATTGCTCCTGGGTCATTACTCATGCTTAGTACAGTTTGGGCTCTGATAATTAGAGGGCTCATTTCCACAGTACTCTGATTGACTGGGTTCTGTTGTTGCCATCTATCACTGAGATCTGTTTGGAGATGCTTTTTAGGTTCATTAAAAGAAGTGGGAGTACGGTTTATTTTCCTCAGAGATGAAAATTCAGATGGAGTGAAGAATTAATGAACTCAGTGATTATAGTCTCTTCAAGGGCTTGTGGGATAATATTGTCAAGTCTTCAGGTTTAAATTGCTCGTAGCCTCTGAAGTCATGGATAAAAATGTACAATGAATACTTCTCTTTTTTATGATATTCCTATTTATTCAGCTTTTGCTTGGTCTCCTCCCTTCTCTGGAATTTGTACTTTCACTGAAATAATCAGTATATCAAAGAGAATGGACCAACATCAGTGGTGGATGACAAAGGCTGCCTTCTTACTCTTGGGGTTTCATCCAGAGGAGAAACCTAAGCCCTCTTCCCATGGGAGATTCAGAATGACATAGTTAAGTCTAAAAATGGCCTCACAGAGAGGATCCTGGTCCTCAAGACAGGAGAAATAGGACTGAGTGGTGCCCACCTGGCTGTGTGACTTTGTCACTATCTTTGACCTTCCTAGGCTTTGGTTTTTGCATATGCAAAAGGGGAGGAGAAGCGGAATGATGTGTAACATCCTCTAGTTGCCTGTTTCTGTCCAGAAAGACCTGAACCTGTACTCCTGGAGTATCTGTTAGGCTGTGAGCATTCAAAGGTAGGGATACAAGTGTGCCACCAGAGTTTATGGTTTCCCTAATGGAAGAGAAATGCAGCGAGCAGAGATTGTTCATCGTTAGAATCCAAAGAGTGGCCCCACACAAAATTTTCTACCATCAGTAACTCAATGAGAGACTCCATGTAAGCATTCCAATCAATGAATTTAGAAACTGGACATGCCAGGTTAAATCAGCTGTTGCTTAAAGACCTCACCTTCATGCAAAGTTTAACTCCCAGAGCCAGTTTGCTTCTTGCCACTAGTGTTCACATCAAAAACCAACTGTCTGTTCATCTCTGAGGACACCAGACAGCCTCCAGACATCTATCAACCTGTTATTCTGCAGACATGTCCACATTGATTTCAGAAAGATATTTTATTCCTTTAGATTTCACCAGAATGACAAGTTGCTTATTAAAATCTATGTCTAGATACACTTAAAGATCCTTCTTAAAATTCTCAATGAGTGTAATCACATAATTTATTTAGCTAGCTCCTTTTAATCTTTGGATTCCAAGTATTGATTCTCTCAATGTCCACATCAGAAACTAATGGATGAGATTGCTTCTTAAATTTTTGGAATGGGTTGGAGGTATAAATCTGTGAAGTCAGTTACCTAAAATAATCAGAGACTCACTTTTTCTTTTCTCTTTTCTTCCCCTTCATTGTTGCTCACTTCTCAATTCATGGTGTGTAGACTGGCCATTGTGGAGGCCTTCTCCATGCTTGGGCAACAATGAATGGCAACAACCCAGAGTGCTCCAGTGCTCATTTTTAACACTAAAAATGTCCTTCTAAATGGCTAAAAGCATCATTCCCCTTCAAATCATTCACAGGTGTGTGAGTTCATCTGAAAGGACCAGGAAAGGGTTTTGTACCAGTAACTCCAGTTTTTGTCTCCAATTGTTCTTATTTTTGACACTTGAATGAATGAATTTCTGGTTGATTCCACAGAATGTGGTGCTATGGAGAGAACCACTCACTATGGCCTCCTTAATGACACATTTATACCCCAGCATGATCAATTCAGCTCCACCATGAGTAAAGCACAGTAGCCAAGGTAAAAAAAAAAAAAAAACTTATCAGGTCAGCTTTAATACGATGGTTTGTCCCATAGAAACAAACAGTGGCCTTCTCAGGAAGGAAAGACCTTATTAGGGCAGCTAGACATGCCATCTCTTCAGCCAGAATATTGATATCCTGCTGCTTTTTGAATCTCACAAAAGGACTTCAGAGCTGCTGTACAACCCACG